GAGCCTCAGCCACCTGCCAGCAAGCTGAAGGCACTCACCCAGCGCCACACGGCTTTTACTCCACGAGTAAAACTCAACAATGGAGAAAAAACAAGTGCACTTGCTTTGGGGTAGAAGGAGATACCTGGGTGTGGTCAAATAGTCCCCTAAAGCAGCCACATGCAGAGGAGCGTTACAGGAGCAGATGTATTTTTTTCATGTACGTGTTTAAAGAGCGCCAGCTGCCAGCGCACACAGCCCCGTGCTCTGTATTTTAAACCATACCTATTACTAGTTCTGAGGAAACAAAGAAAATCCCTACAGGCACCTGCAGCCCACATGTTTTACGGCCTAAGGCCATCCTCTGGGGCAGACACCACCCACAAAGGGCTCTCAGGGTCCACACGTAAGGCAGCTTTTGAGCAGAGTAAAGCTCCAGACAAGTGGATGGGCACCAAGAATGGTGTTTCCAGGCTCTCCCAGCCACATGTCAGGCATCTTCCTCAGAGCTGACACAAGCAGATCGGGGAGGAACTGGTCTTGCTGACCAAAGCGCTACTGCCATTCCCGTCACAGCCGGGACATCTTGCCTGGCCCGTGAAATCCTGTCCTGTTTTGTCTTGGTTCTAAAGAAAATCCCAAGAAAAATCCCATGGTGGAGTCACATTCCATCTTGCAATTGTATCTTCTCAATAATAAAGAGACTTGCATTTGAATGTTTAGTTTATCGCCTGCTTTCAAAAGGGACAAAGACCACAGGCGCTTCCTGAGCTGCTCTGTGTCCCTCTGGTTAAATAATTCTGCCCCCAGGTGCAAAAATACAAAGTTCCTCTCTTGCCCCGTTTCCACAAAGACCCTCAGCATCTTTCTGGGCTTGGTTTGTCCTCCCTCACTCAGGAACCCTTTCCCTTAGGTACTACCTTTGCCACTGAAGAGGACTTCTTCTGAAGCCAGCCACCTCCATGCGTTAAGAAATTGGTTAATGCTCTCCTTCCCAGCCACAGTGCTACAGCAGCCATCCTTGCTCATTTTCCCACTGATTGAAGAAAAAACCCAACAATTTCTGAAGTTTTTTTTTTTTTTCCTGCAGGGGAAGGGGGAGGAAGAGAAGAGGAAGATTTATGAGAGCTATTATGAGAAGCCTTATTTTCATCACTCCTAGTTTAAAAGGAATTTAGTTACAAAAGAACTCATTTTTTTTACTAATACTCCCTTGCTTTGCTGAAAACCAAATCATGCTGTCAGCCAGAGATCAGGAAATTAAAATGACTGCGCTATTTTTAACATCATTAAGAAAAAAAAGGCAATTACATTTCTAAAATTCTATTGTTGTTTTAATAAGGTGTTACTAAGAGGGTGTTACATATTAGGGCTCTTTAAAATATTTGCGCCTTGACCATGTTCCTTTAATTATCGCGTTGCGATACACATGCAGGCAGAGGAATTCTGTCACAGTATCCACTCACGCGTTCTCAGCCATTTGGCTATTACGTCAAAGCAAAGCTACCAAATCATGTGCGCACGGGGAGGGAAGGTATTGCCAGGCCACCAGGACAGAGCTCGTTTTGCTGGGTTATTTAATGCCAAGGAAGGGCAGTCAGGTTATAATCAGGCATAATTAACATTGCCATACCCTGAATCCTCTTTACATTCAAGTCACATGACAACCTCAAGGAAATGAAAAATTTTTTCCTGCTGTTGAAACAGGCAAACAACATCTCCAACTGATCCCTGCAATGAGAATATAACAGCTCCTGTGCAGATAAGGTTTTGGAAGCAGGATTTTGTCTGTGCAACTCCCGCAGGGAAAGCTCACAGGCAGACTCCAGGCCTTTGCCTACCTTTGGGTTTCTTGTTTTTTGTTTTTAAAAAAGAAAGGTAATGCTTCGGGCTCAAGGGCTTTGTCAAGACACGGTCTAGATGATTCAAAGGGCCGGAGGTGTGTTATGGAGCTATTTGCTGAGCTCGGTTGTAGGTTGTGATGCTGTGGCCGGTAGCTGTTCTGAAGAGGTAACAGGGAACATCCATATTTCAGAATGCAGTGATGCCTTGTTAGTACTGGCAACAAAGAGGCCAGTTACTTAATAGGCCAGGAGGTCCCATGTTCTGCCCCCCCGCAATGTAAATATTTGAAATAAAGGGATTTGTAGCTTCTTATATAACATCCTTTTGGTTAAAAAAAGAAGAAAAAAAAACCAAACAGATAACCCTATCTAGAAAAGTAATAGCAGGAAGACACGTTTAGCTCCATGCGATTAAGATTTGCAGGCAGCACCATGGGGGTTCAGCTGCCACAGAGATGTGGCCGTCCCTCGTCCCTCCCACCCTTCCTTGCACTTGTCATGCAAGTGCTTCACAGCTGGCAGCCAGACAGCCCCTGAATCAGGCTGCTTAAGGCTCCGAGGTCTGATGAAGCCCTTCCAGAGCTCGGCGGGCACACAGTAGCAGGACACCTCTGTTCTCATTCCCCCCCTGCAGGGAAGCTCACCCTTTTAGCATATGCTCTGGTCTCCAGGACTGCCAGGAAATCTCCTTCTACTGGACAAGTACCTTAAATTCTATTTGGGTAAGAAATATTGCACTTTTCTAGGGGCCCTGTCTGGGTTTCATTTGCTGGTGAACAGAAATTATTACCACGCAAGCAAAGCCGAGTTTTTCTGGGCTACCCAGCTGTATCCATTACCCTTGTCTGAATTAGCAGCTTCAGGGCAATGTCCCGTCCGTGCTCTGAAAGTACTAGAAAGGCAGCAGCGCTGAACTGATCTGAGCACCAGCGGCATTTGGCATTGTCCCCAGAGCTGTCTGAGCAAACAAGGCAAAGGGGAAAAAGCCTGTCCCTCCCTCCACCTGCCCAGTGACTCAGAACAGCTAGAAATGACAGTCTAACTCTCATTGCTGCCAGAATGTAGACTGATATACCCAGCAGTTAGAGTGAGGGCATCCGGAGTGCCAAGAAAGTAAGTATGTTCAGCTGTTTTTGGGGGTGGGGGAAGGGATGGGGACACTCGTGTCTCTATAGCAACCCCTGCCTGGCTGATCGTGCTAAATGATCAGGAACAAGGGCTGCTCTAAAATTAGATCTTCTAGGGCTCCCTTCACCAGGGGCAATAACTCTGAGACAAAAGAAATAATTCAAACTTAATTTCCCTCTTCACTGAACAACTTTTGTTATCTTAGAAACTTCCGTGAAAGAAAAAAAACGCACGCGTAAACCTTCTGCATTCCTAGCGCGATAATTTGGGTGGCCTGACTGAGAGCAAGTGATAAATTCTGTTTGAAGTGATAAAGTTCCAGGTAGAAAAAAACCTGCATGTCATGCCCTGCTTTTAAAGAAATACAGAATTTAACACAGCTGATAATGGCTCTGACATAGGCTTCCCAGTCAGGACCAAGAGGCAGCTGCCTATTCAGGTAGAATTCCTTTGAGACAGTGGGTTTGCCGGAAGCAAAGAACCAGTTTGCTCTGAACATGTTGGCAAACAGCATCCATGTCAGTGAAAATTAACCAGAAGCTGTGTAAGGGAACCATGGTGCAGCGAAGAAGACATACAGATACTCTCAGGCCTGCAAAAAGCTTGGAAGAAAAATCTGACAAAATTAATAGCTGGGAGAGAGAGGAAAGAGCAGCTGAGATAGCTGTAGGACCAGTCATAGCTAGAGCCAGCTGCAGCAGAAATGACCTTTAAGGGAAGGATGATCACAACTTGTCTGCTTGTTTTCACTCTTCTCCAAAACACCTAAGTGGCTGGAGCAGGTAGAAGAGGCATTTAAGCCAGAGAGGAGTTAGAGGAATCGGTACTAACCTCAGGGGGAACAACCAAAATCCTGGAAGTGGAACAAAACAGGCTCTGCACCACAAGACTGCACAAAGAGAACCCCGTTACTGTAGCACATGCTCTGCTCAGACTATGAGGACTTTAAGCAGGGCACGCTGAGCTAGGACCCTAATTTAACCATCTGAGGAACACACACACTAGTAGGGAACTCAGTTCCGCCTCTGCATAAAGGCGCCCGTTCCCAGATCTCTGCTGAGCCAACAGACTGCTTTTAGCCTGTACTGGTATTTGACAAACAAGCAGCCTCTGGTTTTCAGCATGCATATGGCTAATAGCCTAGAACACAATAGTTGGTTTCCAGTTACAGCAGGGAAGGCTTTAACTTATTCACAAGAACAGGATAGTGAGTCAAATAGCTTAGCAGGTTTTAGAAAGGGATTGGATGTTTGCATGGTGAAGCAACATCCACAGCCGTATTAGCTAGGATAAGGGTTACAAGCTCAGCGATCCTCACGCTATGGGACAAAATGATCAGTGGCTGGGATCACAGGCAGACAAAAGCAATAGCCATTCCCTGAAGCTCCTTGCAGCAAGGTCACATGGCCATAAGCAGGCACCGTCAGAAACCAGATAACCCATTGTGCAGTTCTAGCTGGGCTAATCCTGCGTGTCCCCAGAAAGCTCCAGACAGGCTAGGCACAGAATGAACCGGAGAGAAATCCTTGTTATACAAAAAAAACCCCAAAAGAAGCTTTATTGGTATGCATCCTACAGAAACAGTTACAAGAAAGGGCTTTGGATTAATCTGTCAAAGAAAACGTGGAACAGCTGTGCTCCCCCTAGGAAGGCACCACCCATGAGCAGGCTCCTTATAAAACAGGGCAGCATGGAAATATACTGGAGGAAGGGAGGAGGGGGAGTGGACACATGGGATTGGTGCTCTGTTCCTCAATACTGATGCTGTGGGGCAATTTCTAACAATCGAGAGGAGGCCTGGTAAGTACATGCGCAAAAGTGTTTCACCACACCAGAAAGGGACCTTGCTTTTTACAGAGCTGGTTTCCTCCACGTGTAAATACTTGCCCACCAGGATTTTTATAGTGAGCTGGGACAGCTACTAGCAGAGATTCTGAAAAGGCAAGAGACAGTAATCCTCACTTGCTCTTTCTGATAAGTCAGTTCTGATCAGGTTTCAGCCCCCACTCCGTCTGCTCCTTCTCCAACCCCAAGTATACTACTGAATTTGTACTGCTTTAGAAAAAAAATAATCAGCCAGTATTCAATAATAGTAATAGTAAAGTCCAGAGATGTTCCAAGACTCTCTCGCCAACCCAACAGGAGGTGTAGCCATACATGGATAAGATCACCTCTTCTTGAAGCCATATTTTTTCCTTTCGTAGAAGAGATCTGTCTTGGAACTGCCCAGGTTGACAATCTTAGGGCAACCATCTCTCTGTAAGAAGAAAAGAGGATGTAGGTTAGGAGATGGGCAAACAAAACATCATCGCTTACATAGTTCCAGTAGGTTCTCAGTTCTCACACCCCTCACCCTGTCCTCAACACACACATTTCAAACACCTGTGCAGACAAACTGCCCTCCAATTCTGGGTACTACCAGCAAGGGAGTGGAACAGAGAAGAGGATGGACTGAGAGCCTTTTTAACATTACTCCAGGACATTCCTCAGGGTGAAGATGGAAAACAGCTCGTATAACATCAGCAGTTTAATGAAAAGGATGCTCAGTGCCTCAAGACTGGATTCTTTCTAAATTAGGATATGCAGGATTTATAGGGCCCAGAGGAATAACCTTTCCCCTCCTTAGCCAAAAAGAATCTTGTTGCTTTGGATGTCACCAAGCCATTCCCATGTTTAGGGACCCCTCTCAGCTGTGACAGCAGAACTGAATCTGAGATTTCCTGCATTCCAGACTGATTACTGCAGAAGCTGTACAGTCATCTTGGGAGAGGACAGCTATTCACAGCAGCTACACAGATAAGTTCTTGCACCTGAATTCCAGTAGACAGTGAGAAAAAAGCCGCAAGAAAAGCAAGAAGGGGAGTGGCGGAAACCCACTTCAGAGGGGTGGTTGCAAAGACAAATCAAGAGATGCACCTCTTGGTATACAGGGAACATCTGTCCGCAGGCCACCTGAGCCCAGCATCTGCATAACTCTTGAGGGCAAAATGTTATGGCTGGCAACAGCAGCTGTGAGGGGCCCAGCAGGCAGAGGAACACGTGTCCTTGGCTGTTGTGTCAGCCTGACTGGATTAGATTTAGAAAGCCTCCAGACAGATGTCAGCCGCTGTAGAAAATGCACCCAAGCTGCCCCACCGATACCCGTTCCTGTGCAGGAGATGCAACCCAATGGGAGGGTCTGCATGGTAGAAATAACAGAAGGAGGCGGAGGGGAAGAAATCATCCCCCCCCATACACCTGCCACAACCCATCTCTAGCTACTGTCTCCTTATCTGATTTTGAACCTCAGTAGTAGGACTCTTCCCAGCCTTGCCTCCCACGATCCAGGGAGTCTGTGACAATCTTGACAGCATTATTGCAGGGCTCTGTTCGTTCTTCCACCTCCTCCTAAGGAGGCAGTGCAGGAGCATGCTCCTGCCTCCAAGGAAAGATTGCTTTTTGCAACTGGGTGACAAGGCAGTGTTTTGGCCTTTACCCATGGATCAAAGTGGGGTGAAACAATACCTCATTCCTCCCTTCATCAGAACAAATGAACCAAGAGTAATCGGGCCCTTTGCCTTGTGCCCAACAGCATTCCATCTCCTCCCTCCATTTTAGTATTTGCTTTCTTGCTTCTCTATCTTTTCCACTCTTTCTCTGAGGACGATGGAAGTGCTGTGACTGAAACCTTGGAGTGTTAGAGTTTCAGGTATAGAGCTCTGTCCATCTGCTTTTCTTATTCACATTAGCACCAACTACCATAATTGTGACAGGCAGCATACAACTTTTCTCATTCTGGGCACCCTACACCTGTGCCAGCACTTTTCAATCTTGCAAGTCAAGCATGTAAAATCTGCTGTTTCAGATCTGCAACTTCGCATCTGCAATAATCCCTAAAATTTGAGTTTGCTGCTCAGAGCAACTGTCTTCACCCACAGCAGCCTTCACCAGTTGTCAAAATACCTCAGTTCTGACTTGTCATTCTCCTGCTCCTCCAGCTCTACATTTTCTACAATCCTCCCTTGCAGAGCAGCTGGCTATTTCATACCTGAACCAGACGTGAAAAGCTACAGGTGAACTTAGGTTATGAAAAATACCTGTTGGGAATCAATATGAATTGACAAAAATAAAACCAAGCCTATTTTACTCATGACTTACCAAGCCAGGTGTCTTGGTTCCAAAGGCAAGTGGACAAAACTAGCTTATCACAGCATTTCTAAAGTAGGAGGCAGCACGATCATCACAGCATTTATATCCATATTCAGATACTAAGAAAGATTATGGTCTTGTCAGATCTAATGACTAAATTCAAATGAGGACCTGCCCCTGTCCTGAATTTAGCTGCAGGCCTCTAGAGAAAACATAGGCACTGCAGAGAATTAAACCAGTAGCTCATTCAGCTGAGCATGTTCCTGTAAATGAATCTGAACCATACTCTCAGTGTGTTCTCCACTGTCATTAGGGCATGCTGGAAATGGCATCTGCAAAGCACCAAAACCCAAACAACCTTTAACACTCTCAGCTATGAGGTCTATATTCTGGGGATATTGCAACTGCAAGCATCATGTTATTGCTCTTCATTTGCAGTTCTTCACGTCCTGCACTCATTATATTGGATATTAACAAACACCTTACAGGGGGTGAACAGCTGCCTCATTTCACATGTGCAGTGGCTATCTTTCGGCACAAGAAGATTATAAAAAGATTATAGCACTGACTATAGAAATAAGGGATCATTACACCAAAAAGTGTTAGCAGAAAAAGAGACACCTACAACATAGGCTATTCTGGAAAAGAATTAAAAAAATAAATCACATCCCACTGAAATTATACGAGAAGTTTTAAACTTGTAAACCATAATTAGTAGTGCAGACACTGGACATTAAGATCTAACTTTATGTTGTTATCCAAAGGAAACCACAGGTAGTGATTCCATGGGCCTGTAAGGTATGTAAGTATTGTATGTGCCCTTGGTCAGTGGTTGATAATGGACTTCTAGGAAGGAACTGGTCCTACCACTGCCTTTGCAGCATGTGGAATATCTCTGACCCTGATAAAACCTAGGCTGAGAGACTGTAAGTAAGGTAACAACTTAAAGTGGTAGCAAGCAGTGTGTGGACGAAGCAAGTCGTGAGAGTGCAGTGCAAAGCAGTCAAAGATCCTTTGGGATGAAGAGTTACAATACCTCAAAATGCTACGGTATTTCAAAATGCTTTGCAAACACGGAACTACCAACAGGGTGTCCTAGTTTCAGCCAGGATAGAGCTGGTTTTCTTCACAGAAGCTAGTGTGAGACTACGTTTTGGATTTGGGATGAGAAACTGTTGATAATGTGCTGATGTTTTGGGTTGTTGCTAAGCAGTCAAGGACAGTCCAGCTTCTTGTGCTGGCCTGCTAGCAAGGAGGCTGGGGGTGTACAGGAAGCTGGGAGGGGACACAACCAAGACAGCTGACCCAGACTGGCCAAAGAGATATTCCCTACCATATGACGTCATGCCCAGTACATAAACCGGAGGTGGCCAGGGGGCAGAAATCGCTGCTTGGAGACGGGCTGTCAATCGCCAGGTGGTGAGCAATTGCTGTATTGGGCATCACTTGTTCTTGTACATTCCTTTGTCGGTATTATTATTGTTGTTTCTTTCTCTCTTTCTGTCCTATTAAACTGTGTTTATCTCAACCCACGAGGTTTTTTTTCTAATTCTCTCCGCCGTCCCACTGTGGGAGAAGGAGGGAGTGAGCGGCTGCGTGGTGCTTAGTTGCCGGCTGGGGCTAAACCACGACACAAGGGAAGAAAGGTACAAGGTAATGAAAACCAGTGCCAATATTGGTAGCGGAACCCAAGCGTCCCATGTCCCACCACTAATTTCACTAGCTCCAAGCCACTTAAAGGTAAGCATGGCTACTAAATAAAGACATAACCAATTCAACAGGAGACCTGATGACAACATACATCTTTTTCCTGGATGGTACACTCCTTGCAGTAGTAGGCATCAGATACTCCTGGACCCCCACAGATCACACAGCGCCCTTGGTACGAGCCGTAGTTACACTCATCACATATGCGCACGAGAGTGCAGGGCCGCACATAGGAGTCACAGATCACGCATTTGCCATCACCTGCAAGTACAGCAGAGCCTTTGGTTACAGAATGTCCTTTTCTCCACCCCCATACAGAAGATTAAAAGCTTCGTAGTCAAAAAACTTGCCTGTACACTCAAAGACAATACAATGGGACTGCAGAAATTCATCCTGCAGGCACAGGGTGAAACTTTGTATTTGTACACAGACTTGAGAAGAACAAGGGCCAGTAGCCTGCAGTATTTGATGTTGGTTTGTTTTTTTTTTTTCAATCATGCATTCATAATCAGAGAAGAAACCCAAAGTCACTTCTGTGATTAGCCAACATCTGCTTAGATTGTACCATTACTTTTACTCTAGAACTTTTCCTTAATTTTTCACTTGCGAAAAAAATGCTGGACTGACAGGACTAGTGTCCTTACCTACACAGAAGCAGCAGTGTAAGCTTCTCCCACAGTGCCACATCAACAAAAGTCTGGAGTTACTATCCTCAAAGAGATGAGATAAGAGATTGTACTCATGGTCCTTTTAATACTTCATCTGTGAGAAGGCCAAAGAAAGGGCAAACTGGCATAAACAGCCATTTCACAAAAGTTGCTCTTGCTTTCTCACAAGGAACTGAGTGAAATTCTAGTACTCATATCATACAGGCAAGCAGCCATTGACCGTCTCTGCTGTGCTGGACCTTATCCAAAACACTGACCTAAGGTTGAAAGGCTTCATATCCTATTACCAGTTCCCAAGGCATCTAATCCCAACTCCCACAAACAGCTCATCTAACCTGCTCTTAAATCTCCAGCACAACGGCCCTCAGCTACTACCAATGTGAATCTGCTTCACTGCTGAGTGTTCTTGAAAACAATCTTGTTGCTTCAGACTGTGCTTCTCCCCATTTTGCTTATTTTCATACTATTTTTGAGTCATGAATTAGTCACCTTTTTTCTTCTGTTCCCCTACAAGGATCTAATGACAGATCATACTCTTTGTTCTCTTGTACAGTTGAGCATGGGCATTTGATTCTGTGTGTTTTTTTCTGCTCCAAGTCTAGATTGTTTCCCCCTTTCATTTCTTATTCCCCTAGATGCTGAAGGGAACCTTTCTCAAGGTGTGAAGAAGTCAGATTCCAAAAATGCTTCTCCCCCCGCTTTGAAATGACCAAGCTGGTCATTTTGTATTACAGATTACAAGGAATCAATCAAGAAGCCACTGTAGCCTCAGCTACTGAAAAAGCTGGCAGCATATACTCTAGAACAGCATGCATTTGTGTGACAATCTATTTGAGCAGGTAACTTTGTAAGTATCATTGATTTACACTTGCAATACACAAGTAAGTCTTCCTATCTCAAAGAGTGACATCAGGTTCATGGTTAAAGCAAAAAACAGAACCCAATGGCCAAATCCAAACTGTGTGCTCTAACCACAATACCATGTTCTCAGGCAACTATATGTAGAAGCTATACTTACATTTTTCACAAAGTCTTCCAATTGCTGTAAGAAGAAAAAGAAGAAAAAAAAATTAGAGGCAGAAGCAGGAGAAAAATTTAAGTAACTACAAGCTTGAATGTAAAATAATTATCATCTGCAGTGAGCACTCTTTAAAAAAAAAAAGTAAACCACAGAAACAGTTTGAGCATAAACACATATTTATGAAAAACAAAATATATATCCTCCTGGAGACATTTACCAAGATCAAAGTTTAGATGCACTATGAATGTGCAAGGATACCCACTGACAGCAAGAAAACCTACATTCATTACTCTGTTTCAAACATAGCCAATGTACTTGACTGAAGGAAATCCTATACATGAGTCTCAGCATACTTTTTACACTGGTTTTAATAAGACAAAAAAAAAAAAAAAAACAAGCGTCTATTTGATTTAAGGCAGCCCAAATACCTTCTTCACTTCAGAACATGAAGGTAGCTAAATGTATCTTAGAAGTCATGTCACTTGTCTAGGAAACTTACAACAATGATGTTAGTAACCCGGGTAAATGCCATAAATATCAAGTTCTAAAGACCAGATGTCCATATTCACAAAGACTAAATAGCTATTCAGTTTAAGTTTGAGGAATAAATAAAAATAAATAAATAATAAAAAAATTAAATAATAATAAATAAAAAAAAAAAGTCAAGGAATTCATCAGGCTGGAAATGCATTTTCAACATATATGGACAGTTAGCTGCATTAACTATTCTAAAAAGAAGTTTCCTATGGACGGTGCAGCTGAATATTTTGTGTTTACAGTTCTTTCAGAGAGTTGCATGTTAAATTTGCTTTTCCAAGGAGAGGAAAAAAAAAAGAGGTATCTCAATTTCTAATCTTGTAAGTCAAGGAATTCATCAGGCTGGAAATGTATTTTCAACATATATGGACAGTTAGCTGCATTAACTATTCTAAAAAGAAGTTTCCTATGGACGGTGCAGCTGAATATTTTGTGTTTACAGTTCTTTCAGAGAGTTGCATGTTAAATTTGCTTTTCCAAGGAGAGGAAAAAAAAAAGAGGTATCTCAATTTCTAATCTTGTATAAAACTTCTCTAAGACTTAGCAGAACAAATTCTGACCCAAGCAACAAGAATAAAGCTCATTATCTGTATAGAAGTATAACCTAGAAGACAACTTGTATCTGCAGCCAGAAAGATGCTCCCAGAGTTGGCTGAAGCCTTCAGTTCATTCTCCTGGCTGCACTGGTGTGGCCAACTGTGGCCAACACAAAACCCCCACATTCTTCTGTGTACAGCCATCAACTTCCTCTGCCTCTCTGCCCACCTGAGGAAGAAGAGGCTGCTGTTAGGCACGTGTTAAAGCCTTTCAGCTCTACTGAGAGAGGCCCAGGAGCCCTCTCAGGCACGCCAGCACAGACGCCAGGGGGGAAGCACCGAGAACAGGATTAGGGCCAGGGGCCTTCCTCACAGAGCCTACTCTCCCACTATAGGGGGAGAATCCACAGAACACGTCAAAATATCAAGACAGAAGTGAAATAAAATAGGGAGGAACGAGGCGGGCGCCCCTTCCCCCCACCAGGCCTAACGGCCA